CATGAGAGTCCAATATACCAAAGCTTGAGGCGGATCCGTTCAGTGGATCCTTTGAAAATCACACGTCAGCACGATCCATCTAGGCAAAAGTAGTCACGTAAACATCCTTAGCCCTTAAGTTATGATAGATGATGGCACCTTATTGTTAGTTAACCTATCTTAGGAACACAGTATGTTCGAAAATGACCATCTTACTTGGTGGTCCAATATTTGGAAACCTCAGAATTTGCTGAAGCTTGGTCCACAGGGGTTACTCGACAAGTCAATTACAAAAATGATTGATCGTTGTAGATACTTACTGTATGTGCTAGTATTTTGCATGTCAGGCCTATCTGACATTGTTAACGAATATCATGTAACCGCTAACATCAGCATCACCTTGATAACGACCCCTTTCCCTACCCCTCAATACGATCCCTCAGGTGCTGCCACACCCCGGGCTTGACCGTGGTTTACAGAAACAAGGAATCTGCCTCTGTGTGCCGAACGAGTATTTGCATTTTTGATGGCGTAAATTCCAATGCAGTAGATGCGCCTGCGGATCGGGTTGAATCGCCGCTGCGACGCCGCCGGACTCGACGTGGGTTCGGTTTCTTTGGCGTCCCTGTTCAGTGTTTCAAATTTTTTGTTGCTGTGGCTACCACGAATCAGTGTTGGAAACAAATGGCTCCCATGAAAGCTGTTAACTTCACTAGTCTTCGTGGTGAAGCTATTTTGAGCGAGAAGTTTTGATAGTGCTCAAAATTGCTTTCGAAATTATTTCGTTAGTCAAATGTTCACTATTTTTCTAGTCTAGATATATGCAGTCAAAGTTTTCCTCGTTTCACCTACTTTCTTGCATCAGCGAGGCAGTTTGAATAAGAAACAGATTTTGCAAGTGAGAAATAGCTTGAGAACAGCTGCTTTCTTTTTTCATCTCACAACCAGTTATTGATGTTGATTGCTAATCAGTCATACTAGATCGCTGTCTATTTTTAGAATGGGTGATGCTGGATTTTTCCGAGGTACAAGCTCGGATCAAGATGGTCGGTTTTCTGATAAGGAGAAGAAGTTGCTCAAACAGATGAAATTCGAGAACACATTAGATCGGAAGGTACTTTTACTTTTATTAGGAGCGCTTAGCTAAGTTTAACGTTAATGCTTTTGGAATACTTTTTACTAAAGCTTAGAAAGTAGGTTAGCTTAGAGCGTTCTAAACCGAATGTTTAAAGGATTTTCGGCATGGTTTTTTCTAAGATCAACATGGACAAAATCAACTTGGACGTGATCAAGCCGTGGATCACTATGCGTATCAACGACATTCTCGGTATCGAAGACGATGTTGTGATTGAGTATATAATGAGTCAATTGGAGGAAAAAGATATTAATCCAAAAATTATGCAGGTTTGTTTCACCTCATCCTGTCACGTTTTGAAATCATTTCACTAGTCTGTATTTCCAGATAAACATTACCGGATTCCTCAATGCTCGACGCGCACGAGAGTTTATGGGAGAGCTCTGGGCACTGTTGGTCGAAGCTGATGAAGCAGAGGATGGCATACCGCGCAGTCTGGTAGAGAAGAAAATTGAAGAATTACGCAAGGAACCACGACCTGGGAATGGTGATGTGAAACCGGAGCCAACACCACAATCAGAAGATTGGGCAACTAGGTAAGCTATCCTTTCCATGTGCCTTGATAAATGAAAGAGAGTGCGCAGACTCCCTCAAGCAGGTGGAAACACAGGGCATCGAAAAATTTGTGTGCTTCAGCCGCTAGGGAGAGCATATTATTTTCCAGTTTGTGGTTGATCCTAAGTACCACTGCTTACATGATCCCAACACAGTATGTAGTACACGCTTTGTTGCAGAAAATCAAGGCAGTGTCCACTCAATCTGGGCACATGGGTTTTCTACGTGGAAACCGATGAGGGAGTCCCTGACAAGGGAAGGATGGTTGGTCGAAATGGCCTTTCGAGACCGTATATATACCATCTTGAAGGGCATAAAACGCTAACTCAAAATCTGTTCTGATTATCTGCGGTGCGTTACTGCATGAGGAGTTATGAGCGTTTGATATAGTAAAGTTTGAATGACTTTTCAAGGTAAATTTAGTTGTTAGAATTTCCTTTGCTTTCAAGTGTGGCAGTGGAGAGCGAATATAATTTATCTAAAAGTATTTATTGCACGAAGTGCTCTGATAATTATAACTGCTCCATTCAAGAGCTAAGGAAAGTCTTACGAGTGTTTTCATTCACTTTTTACACAACTGATTTTTTACTTCAATAAACGCTCATAACTCCTCACGCGGGAATGCTCCGTAACTAAGCAAAACGGATTTTGAATCAGCGTTTTATGCCCTTTAAGATGGTATATGTCCGGTCTCAAGAGCCACTTCGATCAAGCATCCTTCCCTGGTGAGGCACTGCCCAAGCATCAGCGCAAATGATCCATCCACGGCTGAGAATATCATTACCGAGCTGTTCGCAGCTGCACAATGACCGTCCGCAATTTGATTTGCTCTGACAAGTCCACGTTCGCGCTGGGACCCGTCCTTAGTCATTCGAGATGGATCTTCCAGCTGTGATCGGATCATTTGCGTTGCCGTGTGAACAGAGCATGAGTTGAAACTCCCTCATCATCCACGCAAAAACCATTGCATCCAGAAGCCCGGACAGTGCCTTTAGCGAGATGAAAAGCACTGGTTGAAACAAGGAGAGCGACTGGATGCGGCAGAGTCCCGGCACGAGAATGCTTTTGGTAGGTGCCAGAGTAAGCGAATATTTTGTTCAAGTTAGGGTCCCGCGCAGAACTGGCATCACTAATCATTGTGGCATAATGCCAACTTGGCGTTGTGCCACAGTGATTAGTAACGCCAGTTCTGCGCGGGACCCCAACTTGAACAAAATATTCGCTTACTTTGGCACCTACCTAAGCGAATATTTTGTTCAAGTTGGGGTCCTGCGGAGAATTGACGTCACTTGGATTGATGCCAGTATGGTGAGAGACGTCAGTTCACCGCAGGACCCCAACTTGAACAAAATATTCGTTTACTCTGGCACCTATCTTTACGAAACAGTTCGCCAGTCTGGGCTCTGGCCTTAAGTATGTGGCGCCTCCGATTCTGCATGCTTTTGCTTGACCTCTACAAACTGTAAGTTGTAGTTCTGGCTAATTCTGATTTCTCTAGTAATGCTGTGATCGCAAATGCGATGAAAAGCCTCAGCGTGAGCGCAGTTTCACTATGTTTCTGTCCACTTGCTACAGGGATGGAAGACCATGAGCTCTTGTTGTCGCATAGACTGTTCATTGTGCCCTTTACAGATTTTCCAGGTCGCTAAATGATTAGCGAGTCGCACGTATGATATTGTTTGTAAAACTCTGCTTTCAACATTCGCATCTCTTCTGTCGAAATGAGCTACGATGGGAGGGTGGTTAGCTTATGTAAGCGGGGACTAGTGCGGTTGAAATAAAATGATGTTCACGTTTTGAAAATAGCTTGCTGGTCGAAGACAGCAGTCATGGCACTGTAGTTTTTAGACTCGTAAATACGTAAGAAAGTTAACGTAAGTAAGTTCTCAGTCTCTCTGGACGTTTGACGTTGGCCAAGGCCTCTGCTTGTGATGGTGTATTTGTTTATTTGATAAAGTCGACAACAAAACAATCATATCTTTTGAGGCAAAGAAAGTACATCCACGGTCGACTAAGGAATCTTGCTGCCTCTCAGAAATTGTGTCCCCATTTTTTTGAAGGCCAGCGAGCCTACGGGCGGAGGCTAGCTGGCTATAACCCCATCAAAAAGTATTTCCAAAAGGACAGCAAGACATGCAGACAGAACAAGAAAAAAAACGAACAGAAAATCAATGAAACTTTCATGAGGTGGATAGTTCATCCGAGAAAGGGAAATGAGGTAGAAAAGAAACGATGTATGGCTTATGGCTTACTGCAGTGGTTTTTTTAAAATGTTTTTCCTAGGGAATAGAATAGGAGGAATAGCATATAGTGCGATTTCCTCTTCTGGATAGAGGAACCAAAACCGGCTAGAGTGCTGCTGTTGAGAGGACAAAGGGGAACGACCTCTTCCGCTTCTGCAATTAAAAATCAGAATGACCCTTGCGATTTCAAATATTTTTGAACTTCTCTGTTGAAAATGAAGGCGTTTCTCGCAGTAACAGCTTCCACAGGGAGATCATTCCAAGTTTTGACTACGCGCACTAAGAAGGAGTTAAAGAACTGCTTAGTTCTAACTTTTCCTACTACAACCCTGAAGTTGTGTCCTCTAGTGAGATTGTTAAAAGTTGACAGTCTGAAAAAATCTTGCATTCTCAGCTCAACTCTTCCAGTCATAATTTTGAAGACTAGATCTTGGTCGTACATCACTCTTCTAAACCGAAGGGAGGTCGCGGCGAGTATGGAGAGTCTAGTTTTGTATGACAGTCGAAACATTCCAGCCCGGGCAAAGATCCTAGATGTGAAAGATCGTTGGACTCGTTCCAAGGCATCAATTTGGGCTTTCTTATAGTGTAGTAGTGTAGTAGTAGTAGTGTGTAGTAGTGCGATCTTTGACCGTCATCAGCAGAACCCATTGGGTAGGCTAACCTTCTAGGTTCGTTGATGAAAGCACCCAGGGTGCTAATCTAGTAGCTTTCTAGAGCTGTGGGTTAGCCTAGCCGCTGCGTGGCCTGACCACCTAGGTTCGCAGGTGGTTACGACCACTGGACGCATAGCTTCACTTAAGCGTATCAGATTGAAACTGAATTTGATAGAGTAAAACCATACGATAAATTGCATACATAGTTACATCTGCGAACGATAATCTAATAGCTGTAGTAACGATTTTGTCTGGAAATTGATTTCTTCCCGGGGTAACATAAGAGAAGCAGTTATTTCAAATCAATTAAGCTGGGCAGGTAGCTTCTTTGTTGCTTCTTTTATTTATGTTTACTGAGAATTTTGCATTTGCAGGTACAGCTCATTGTCTGGTGGTCGCTACACTGGTCCCACGAAAGAGAAGGAAGTACCTGATGACCGTATCACAAAAATTAGCCCGCGCGGCGGTACACCTCCTCGACGACGTAGAGAAAATCGTGGTGATGACACACCACCCAGAAGGGTTAGTTTGAAGATCCTCTATCTGAGACTTCTCATCCTTTATTGTTTAGAGAGCTTACGACGATCGAGATCGCGACCGGGAAAGGGAGAGGGATCGAGACCGAGAACGTGACAGAGAACGTGAACAACGCAGGCAGCAGCGTATAGAAGATGAGAGGAAAAGAGAGGAGGAGTCGAAGAAGAGGGAAGAGGAAAGGCTGAAGCGACGCGCTGAAGAGAGGGAACGCGAGAGGAGACGAGATGAGGAGCGAGCAAAGGAAAGGTAAGCAGAGTCTAATTCTTGATGTATTCGTCACGAGATTGTAGCTTGACGCTGGTAGTCTTCAGAGAGCGTCGACGAGCCGAAGAAAGGGAACGAGAAAGGCGTAGGAGGAAGAGCAGAAGCAGATCGAGGTCGAGATCACCTGTGAAGAGGCGATTCACCGAAACGACTTCGAGCAGTAAGCGCAAGCGCAGTCCTAGCACTTCGTCCACATCATCTTCAGAAGAGGAAAGGTATGTGAATTTTGCTTAGTTCTTCTTTCTTCAAATTTCAGTGATTTTTTATATCAGGAAAAAGAAGAAGGCCAGCAGGCGCAAGTATCGATCGAGCACTGATGAATCTGATTACGAGAAGAAGTCGAAAAAGGAGAAGAAATCAAAGAAGCATAAGAAGGTAAGGATTTGATACTGAAAATTGTAATGCTACAGTGAAAAGTACGCAGTTGGTATAGAGGACCCAGTAAGTACATGCGTTCTTTATTTGCGCCAGATAACAATATTATTGTTGCTGAATGGGGTCAAGTTCACTTAGGCCCCATCCAAACTTTGCTTAAGAGCGCCCCCAAAATCCTCCAATGTCTCTTCACTTTGTTATGTAAGAGAGATGGGAGAATTTGAAGGGAGGTTAGGGGGACTTGGGCTTTTAATCGAAGTCTGGCGGAGGCCTTACAGTGCTCAATTGCACTGTCGGGTGCACGCATCTCCGCTTTCGCGCGGGATCTGTACCTCTTTCGCGAACATGCTCCCCAATCGGGCCCCATTTAAATCTACACAGTCGGCTGCGCGGGCGGTCGCGTCGCGCACCCACTTTGTGTGCTTGGGTCACGCTTGTTCAGGTCGCGCTCAGGAAAGAATATTTCACTGTCATTCAGGATAGAAGTCATTCAGGAGTGCATGCTTTTGATTCCGAGTTTGATTTCCCTTACTGCACCTGCACTGCTTCTATATGTTCACCTTTTAACCTCTCGATCACTTGAACTTGTGCAGGATTTTGGGTTCAGGATGTGACGCTTCATCACTAGGCGCGTGCACATAACAAGCCAAGTACGGAGAAGTGTTGAATCGGACCCTAAGTCTGGATTAGTGCGATGTCTAAGAGGATCATGGCATTTGAAACTTTGGTCTAAAGAAGTTTTCTGCTCTTTCCATATGAGCGAATGTTCACTGAAAGTTTTCGATTGCATTCTCCTAGTCAACTAATCTGTTGAGATCTGAGTTTGTCCCCTTTTGCTCTTTGCTTGAAAATGTTTGCTATACTATCGTCCATTCTCGGACTTGGATATCCGAGTATGCTTTGCACACGACTAACTAACGAGTTAGTGCATGTGCTTCATCTCTTTTTGGATCACTGTACTTGGAACTCGAAAGACATAGTCATCAGCTGTCAGACAACATGTAGCCGTATTCCTGAGTATTTTATTCACAGAGTAGATGATCATACAAAGACTAAAAGACTCGGGCACGCTTCGCATACACTGTCTAAACAAGCTCGTGTGTGATTAGCAATACTTGTGATCTATCAGTTTACTACTCTGAACCATGGAAGAACGAGTACCTATAAGATAGTACCTTGTTGAGACGATGTGCAAAGCGTACTCTGTTTCAGAATAGATTATACTCATATCTTCGACACAAAAAGTGATAGCTTCAGAAATGTGCACGTCGTACCAGAACTCAAACTCAAAACACGATGACCCCATCGAAATTAGCGTTCCAGCAACCCAAGCAAGGCAACGCTGATATGAATAGTGCTCTAAGACCAGAGGAGCTCAATTAAGATGTAGCAAAAAAACAATAACATAATCTAGATAATTTTTTCCTTCTATGCCTTACGTGAAAAAAGGTCATCTGTGATAGCGTAACTCTCAAAAGGTATTTGGGCATGTCAAACATCCAATCCTGCTTCTTCAATCACGCTATTTTACTGGCACAGCTTAGCCTAAGCCGAGCAAATAACTTATCAAAAGAAAGCAAGAACAGAAGATTACACAGATGCCGCCCGTGAGGTCGGTCACAATCGTCATTCAAACTTGCTTGCAGAGATGTATGAACCCTTCACATTCTTCAAGCCTGTGACAGTGTCACATAGAAGAACGCAGCGCTATTCCCTCCGACAGTGTGAATTCATCGAAGAATGCATGAAGTGGTTTCCGGATCTTCTATCCTGCTATCTAACCAAGTGGTCGAAAATGATGAGAACCAGCAAGCGTGGCCTGGTTACAAGCTGCGCACGCGACGCGACCGCCAGCGCAGCCGACTGTGTAGATTTAAATGGGGCCCCCCAATCGTTTGCAATCGATTGAGGCTCCGCCTTTCCCACGCTCGCGGTGAGAGAATGATCAGAGAGCATGTTCGCGAAAGATGCGCAGAGTCCAAGCGAGCGACTCCAAGTAGTACTTCCTTGAGTGAACAGAGTAGTGATGTCTAGTATTTGAATGGCGGCCGCTCGGGAGCGGAAAGCTGATAAACCCTACACTGCAGCTGATAAACGTTATATGCAAATTGACCATGTATTGTCTTCTCTGAATCATGTAATTTTCCTGTATTGGTGCAGTGCAGCAAAGATGTGCAGCATTCCACACTTCGGTATCTTTTCATTGCTCCGTTATTAATTTGTACTGGCAGCTGCAGATCTCCACTTCCATCTTAGTACAGTCCGTCTTTTTGTCACTTTTTATGATTTCGAGATGTTTTTTCTTTCAGTCATGGTAATGACATTGCCGCCGATTTGCTTTGCTTGCAAATTGCGGTAGGGGAAATGCACAAAACTATTGCTGGGATAAGGGTTCGTGGATCACCATGCACCTGTTGAAAATCTAGCAATGCTTGCGCAAGAACTTTATGATAATATAATAATAATATCGTGCCGATCCATCTCCGAGGATATCTCAGGGGAACTGGTAGATTTAAAGGCAGCGTCCAGGCAGATCTGGACCTATGGGGCTTTTACGTGGAAAGTGCTTTCGGGGCCTAAACTAAGGTACTGCCCAAGCGGCAGCACAGGTAATGCTCTAATGGCTGATATATTCCCCTCGAAACTGGCCCCCGCGAACCTATTCGCATGCATTCATGGCAGTTTCGCCCCGGGATCCACGCTTTGCGCCATGAACCCATGCGAAATACGGTCGCGGGGTCCAGTTTCGAGGAGAATATCTCAGCCATTGCAGCACTTCCTGAGCTGCCGCTTGGGCAGTGCCTTAGTTAGGGCCCCAAAAGTACTTTCCACGTAAAAGCCCCATAGGTCCAGATCTGCCTGGACGCTGCCTTTAACTCTTTAATGTATTTCTAGCAGTCACCACCTTCTATGCCAAAACGCGAAGAATGGGGCAGATGCAGTGCGGTTAAGAATGAACACTTATACCTATTTACTCTTTTTCATTTACTAGATCTCAACAATTTGAAAAAAAATGAGCAAGTTTTTGACATAAAATGGGGGGAAATCATCAATGCACTGTGTTATATGAAAATATGGTCATATTCCTCCTGCAATTGCGCGGCTTCGTTTACTATGCCTTTTCAGGAAAAAAAGAAGAAGGAAAAGAAGAGGTCTCCGACTCCAAGCAGTACTTCCTTGAGTGACACAGAGTAGTGATGTCTAGTATTTGAATGTTAATTTCATGGTATTCTTTCTTGCGGTTTCTCTTATTTTGGTGAATAACCGTTGTATTCTGACAACTACCTTTGAAGAATGATTTCTTGAGCGTTTTTCTGTATTTGTCTATTGATTCAATCATCTGTAAATTACAAGCTTTGATGGGTGGCTCGTGTTGAAATTATGGCATCTCAATTTCCTATTCAACCGATGCGTTGTGTTGTTGGAGTTTTGCTTTCTTTGCGTTCAATCCTGTTATGAAGTTCAGTGTATTAGATAAAGTATTTGTTACATATTTGTATGAGGAGCCTCAGGTCGTGACCATATCTATTGTTTGCGGTTTTTTAACCAGAAAATGATTTATCAGTTCGGTTTGCGTTTTTGTACGAATAGATTATTGTCTGCTCTTGTTCGTTCGAAAGAAATGATGTTAAAGACTACGTACAGTCAGTTCCCTTCTGTCCAAAGTTGCCGCGGTGCGCATCCGCATCGTCAGATTTCCAAGACACGCGCCATACGTAACCTACTTGTTCCACTTCATCCACTTCTGTTGTCAAATCGGTGAACTGACTGATAACGTGGGTGTTACGGTTGAGGTGGATAATTATGGCGTCTGCTTGACTTTCAAGGCACATCGTGCCAGGATCCAGATTTTATTCAGATTGATAAGATGTTCGCACATTTTTATACTGCGTACGAATAAGGCGGCGCTTTTTCTCACATTTGACTGTCATAGCTAGGCAGGGCGTTAGCGAAAGTTTGAGCAAACTGGACAGGATTTCGCAGTTTTTAGCTTACAAGGGAGGGATGGCTGGTCAAAGTAGCCTTTTCAGATGAAATATATACCGTCTTGTACGGCGTAAAACGCTAATTTCAAATCCGTCTACCTTATCTGCGGAGCATTCATGGTCGACGAGTTGTGAGCGGAGCGTTTATTGGAGCAAAAAACCGAGTGATATCTAAGTTGAAACCAGTTGTTAAACTTAAAAACGCAGTGGTGCATACTCTATAATGTGCTCTGCTAATTATCACCGCTCCGTTTAAGAAAAATATTCCGAATATTTTCTCCACTTACACATTCAATTTTCTGCTCCAACAAACGCTCGCAATCCTCGTGCAGGGGTGCTCTGTGGATAAGGGAGACAGGTTTCAAATCAGCGTTTTATGCCCTCCAAAATGGTATACAACCCTCTCAAAACATTGGACTAACCATCTTTTTCTTGTTAGACTATTCGCGAAAGACGGTTTTTCCATAGGCGAGGCGTTTGCGGGAGCGTATACATTCGAGCAGGTGCTCCAGAGCAGAGAGTAAAATAGTTCGCATTTGATCTGTTTGATCAACTGTCTTCATTCCAGTATTCACCGTACTGCAGTGGCTGTTGCGGAAATCGTTTCGGGGTAGGGAGGGGCGAAACCAGTCTTCAAAAAAGGTTTTTTTCATTTTTTATTCCATCAAGATCGTAGTGCAGAAAATCGGGGCGCCGCCGCTATTTTTCAGGATCACAGCTTCCATAAAAATCGTGCTTTTCTATAATTTAGCAAAAGAGGGTGTATCAATGTCTTCTACAAGTCTCTGCGACATTGAACATCTTGTTATTTTCAAAAAAGAAATAATTCGAAAATTCTTTCAGAGGCTCGTCCTCTCGCAGTATATGGGTGATGTACGGCAGCAAAACAGCACAACAGCTGGAATAGAGGCTGCGAGTGTAACGGTTGCTGCACTACAATCGGCCGCACGCGCTGCTAATAAAGTCGATTCATCGTCGGTTTCTCCGAATTTTGTAAAAGGAGGTACGTAGAGTATTTTGAGATCCCTTTGAATGCTGCCTGCCTCTGTGTGGCCGTTTTTTTTTATTCTTTGCCAAAATCTTTACACTCTTGGTTCCTCTTAGCAGTGAGAAGTCTTTGTAAATTCTTTGTTCTCAGTCTCTTTCATAGCACTGCTTTTTTCTCTTTTTGAGTTTTTGCCTTATCTTTTCTAAATGCTTGCGAAGGAGCGTTCAGGCTAAGGAATCGGGAAAATTTCATGCTTCCATTACAGTCATTTCTGCATATTGTTTTCATGTTCGAAATCGTACTATCTGGACCTGCTATTAATTACCAGTAAAATGCATGTACGTCACTGATTACGTGTTCGTTTTTCTTCCGAAATTTATCGATGCGTCAAAATTGATGTACGTTTTTCTGTTGATGTATTATTACGTAAAACACGCTAAATTCGGGAATGCTGATGTTTCTGTCTTTCGAACGCTGTTGTAAAGCAACACGCTCCTAATTGCAGCAGTGACGTCAGTTGTCCTTTGCTCAGTGAGCGATTCATTGTTGTAGCAGGACGCCTACGTTTTCTTTCCTTGTTGCACTATCTTGCTAAGTGCTTACAGTTAGTTATATGACTCAACTGTAATTGCGCACATCAGTTCACTCAGTGGACAGTGGGAGGATTTTGTTCAAAATGAATCACTTTTTTTCTTCATTGTGCACTACTTTTGTTTATATAGCATCTGCACAAAACAAATTTGCGCATATAAGCCTAGGGCATTCGATTTTCAAGTCCTTCCTATTATTGTTCTATCATAATGCGTGCTTTATCTTCAAGTTCTTGTATTTGAATAAGGTTTTGTAAGACTGAAAACACCCACTCACAATGACCTTCAAATCTCTTTTTTTCACTATTCAAGGATTTCCAAGTTTGTGAAGTGGTTTGGGTTTTTATTTGAGTTGTCGTTACTGTTCGCCATCTGAACGTCATCGCGTAACTGTGACCAAATGCGGCAATCATTGGCCGTGAACAACATTTTCCGCTTGGTGTTGTAGTTCATTCGCCGTTCATTCTATTTTTCTTGTTCGCAAATGCGGGTCAACGAAACTGTGAGTCGAAACTTGTCGATATGTTCTTTACATTTCTAAACTGGTTATCCGTTAGCCCATTTTCCAGCTCTGCACCAACTTTTTTCTTTTGTTCCTTCTTCCCTCCATATTCTAGAAGCCTTTCTTGCAATCGTTCGAGTTGTCTTGCTACCTGGCCGTCATTTGCAGTTCTATGCAGCTTTGGTTTTTTTGTAGTCTCTCGCGTCTGCTGAGTGAGCTGACAAATAAGCGGTTTTACTTTTGCACTATGCGATTATACGACTTCGATCAATGATGTTCGAGTCACTCACAACTGGTGCAGTATTCTTTTCCTCGTCGTGACAGTAGTAGGGTGTCTTGCACTATGTGCAAATTGCTCGGCGATGATGCCTCATCATTGGTTACAATTGCTGCAAGTTTGCCTACGGCTTAATTAGTTGCACTTTTTTCTTTTGAGACTGGTTTTCTTTCTGTGTTGGGCTTTTGTGCTAATAGTGTTAAGCCGCAAGTTTCCTTTTTTTTTCGGGAGAGGAGGAAATGTTGGAGGCGCCAAGTGGAGTTTAAGTGTTGCCTGTGACAGACTTGTTTTGCTGGTGAGAGCGAAGTAACAAGTATTCAGCGAATTTTACGTGAGGTACAACTTTTCTTTTTGGAAGACTTACTTTGCAATCATATTTTTAGTACTATGTCTCTTGAAATCCGTTATCTACTTTTTTTTTCGGGCTTTCCTCAGAGATCATATGAGTTGGAAGAGAAACTTATTCGGGCGACCAGCATCAGGTTATAATCTAATGCAGTCTTTTTGCATTTTTTCCAGAAGTTTTTTTAGTTGATTTTAGTGTGTCAGACGAGGAAGCTTCTCTTCCACTTTATGTGATCTCTGAAAAAGAGCGAAAAAAATTGATAATGGGATTTGAGACATAGTTTCAAAAATATTAATGCAAAGTGGTAAGTCTTTCAAAAAAAGGGAAACGTCGAACCCCACGTGAATCCGCTGAGTACTTGTTACTTCACTTTCACCAGCAAAACAAGTTTGTCACAAGCAACACTTAAACTCCACTTGGCACTTCTTGGCAGATCACATATTTTGGATTACTTCAAGATGTTTTCTTTCATTTGTTTGTCTGATAATTTTCAGTTTTTGCAGTGAACACAATACAGCAGCACTAGAGAACGAGAATCCGAATCTGGAAATGTGGTCAGAATTTTTTCGGGGAAATCTGAAAGCTGCCATGTCATAGAAAGTATTAGTTCTTTCATTGTTGGAATATCGACTGTTGAAATTCTGCAGTGGCGCAGCATCTGTTCTGACGAAATTGTTGTTCTGAAACATGAAATGCTATCTATCTGACAAAAGAGGCCATGCCGATTTCGCAAACGGTATGAAAGACAAACTTCACTGGAGAGACTCATATCAAAAGTTTTCAGCGTGTAGTTATACAAAACTCTAATTGGTATGCAGCTTGTGAATGTGTGAACATGATGGTGTTTACTTCCATCCGTGCGCTATGTGAAATTGAAAGTCTGCTTTCGAACAGTCGTAGACCATCAACATGTTTATGGTCTTGCTTTTGCTATTGCTTTCATTGAAACCCTCTATTTTCGTTTCTCTAAGCAATGGCAAATTGACTATTTGATGCATTTGAGATGCTTTCAACTATCTTTGCGGACTTACATTTTATTAACTCAATTTGCTCATCTATTAAAATCTATCTAATAAACAGATCTAATTATTTGTTTTCTCTTTCATCGCCAACAGATCCGGTCACGCATAAAAACAATACCGATATCGATCTGACACGCATTTACTTCCGCCTAGATGATCAAGCAGAGCGATAATGTTTTCTCTTTCGTGCAGCTTCGTACTTGTGCGTATAATCTCAGGTGTGAGTGCTTAACTATTATCCAGTGAAAATAGCCTAAATCTTAAATCACCTGCTCTTTTGAGTGCTTCCGTCATAGTTTCCTGCGTTGCTGAACTTTCAGCCCGATGTTCCATTTGTACATGGTCCGTGTTAAATGCTGCTTTGTTTTCGTATGCCTCATACTTTTTGTGCTTGTTGTTTCTGAATCAACAGAACCTTTGTCTCCTAAATATTTCTCCCTGATTCTAGTTTGTGGAAACTGTAAAGAATTTTCTTATCCTTCTTCTATCAGTAACTTCCCAATTTAAATATTTGTGATTCTCTATGTATATTTTTATGAACTTTATTGTCTAGCTCAGAGTTGTGGTGATGGGATTCGGGTGATCTTAATAGCTTGAGTGTGGATAAGTATCAGTTGTGTGCACTACTGACCTACTTGAAGATCTATCGTTACGTCTATTCACTCGGAATTCAGCGCTGGATAAAATTTCTCATATATCTCACAATCAATACAAATAAGCGGAAGAAATCCATTTGAACTTCCCTCCAAACGTTTTTGTAGTAGGATTAGGCCATGAGGCTACCACATCCGGGTACTTTCGTCGATTCAGAGATATCCTAGTATGCATTTTGGAATCACGCGTTTAGTTTCTTTTTTTTGTCGCTGTGCTTACTTTGTTGCCATGCAGTCGCTTTGACATTGTCACGTTTGGTTTCAAAGCTGTATGAATAATGAATTAAATCATTTTTGTCGTCATTGGATAGATGTTAGTTCTGGTAATCGTCATAGAAATCGATACTTATAAAACAACTGAGGCATTACAAATACATATTCTGGGAATGTCTCCATGAAATAATTCTATTGCCGGAGCTAAATCTTCTATCCCCCTTTTTGTTGAAGTTATTTGTTATAGAAGCTGAAATAAGTGACTTTGTAAGATGGTCTATGCATTCGAAAAAGTTAGTTCGCAGTACTCATAGCTAGCAAGGAGAATCTGGTTTACCTCGGAAAGAATCCAGTTTTAGAAAGTTACAAGTGCCTTTCTCCTTTTGTGTTTTCGTTTTTTTTTTTTCCTGTCAGAGTGTTCGCCTACCACGTTAAGGTCTATTTCGATGACACGTGGTTTCTCATCAAGCATGCGCTTTCTCATTCTTTTCCATATTCAATTAAGCTTTGCGTGCAGCATCAGATTGATGTGCAAATGCATTTCCGCGGTTGTGTGTATATTTTTCTAGAAAAACTCATTTTTGTTGATTGAGAGGGCAAACAGGTGCTTAGAATTTGATAAGGGGCGCTTCAGACACGGTAAGAAACCGGTATAGTACTTATACGAGAAATCTGTATTTTCAAATAATCGTCAAATTTCTTAAACTTTTACTCTTTTGCGCTGTCAAAGTGTATCTATAAGTTTTCATTGGGATTGGAAAAATTTGATGCCTATTTTCTAGTCTTGGAATAATCATTTTCCGAAGTGACGCTGTTTACGCTGTAATGTGAGAATCACACGTAACCTCAACCGTCCGTTTCCTCAGGGCATCTCTGTTTCTATTCTTTTGTCATTTTTCCCATCGTTCTGGAAGATTTTACCCTAGTAGCACATCGCCGACTCTTCCTTGCTATGCATCATAAGACGATTACACGGGTTTTATGCGATAATACTCGCCATCTCCTTGCCTAGTGTCCCATTCAGTGAAATTCTAGGCAGTTGATGACTTATTGATTTTTGAAATATTTGTTTCTATTAAATTCTGTAAATTTTCTCCCTTTTTAGTGCTTGGCTTTGCATCATTAACGACATTAGCTGCTGGAGTTCGCACTGCGTGGAAACATAGTCGACAACCTGAAGCGGCCGATCTACGACGGGCACAGGTTCGTTCGTTGGTGTCCAATTACACGGATTTAGATAACACAAGCGTTCGTTAGTGGCCCGAGTTTTTTTTTGCTGACCAGTAGGTTGGCGCAGTTTTAGTTTTGATGAATTTGTAGTTAAAATCTGTCACTTTTTGTTATTTTTCTTTTTTCGGGCTTTTGAGGAATGCAAGATATTTGGATACATTCGGTTTCTGCTCTTGCTTTTTTTTCATGATTTTTTCCGTTTCTAAACCAGACCAAATTCCCAAGTTCACATTGCTATTGTTGATTTTTCCGGAGCGAATCCTCCAGTGTGATAGGGCATTTATCTTTTCAATTACAAAAGTGAACATCGAAATTTGCATATCTGCTTGCCACATTCATTCTTCCTCTGCTAGCGTTTGATTTCTTTTTTGTAAGAGAAATGTCAAAAAATGAGTCCATTCGAAATCTTTCTTGACTGCAAAGCTTTTTTCCTCTCTATGCAATCTCGTATTTTTTCTTCATGTGACATTGGAGCACTTTCCTTTGTTTTCTCATATGCTAAGGATTGGTTATGTGGACGAGTGTTGAATGGTGATAACAGTGTTTGTTAATTCCACATCCCAGAGCGATAGTGCATAGATTTTTTTTCAATTTTTCGATTTCACAATTGGAATGATTGGAAAAGTGCGAGCTTAATATCTCTAGATAGAGTCTTTAATCCATTAAACGCCCAATATTTATTTTTCATACATCCTTCAATTTTGAAGGAGGAGAGTAACGTCTTTTATGATTCAACTCTACTTGATGTTTGAAAAGACCACATGGAAGATATTTTTGAAGAAGTTTTGCGTTAAACTTTCATTGTTTATCCTTATCCCATTGTTCGTTTACATAGTTTCTTGTTTTGAAACGCTGTTATAAGAAGATGAGTGGGCCTTTCGTTTAAGCTCATCTACTGAACCAACAGAAGCAAAGCCGTTGAAGTCTTAGTCTTTGGAACCCATTTTCAAAGCGCATTATGTAAAAAAAGTTCTTGACGATCTCGGGATTTTCTCAGAAAAGGGAGAAGCGATTTGTGGTCATATCCATAAAGAAAGGCTGAGGCAGATAATACAAAGAAACGTGAGTTAGATAAAATTAGAGAGCGCATTTCTATGTGGCACATGCCTCGGTCCCTTAACCCACTTCGGGGTAGGATTTGCCTGAGGTTTATGATAAAATTTTCTCAGCACAGAACAAGGTATCTCGAGCCAGTGTATGTGCATCATCAAGTACGAGTCAACGGCTCAAATTATGTTTCACATACTTTGAGATATAGGTAATCGACTCAGCATACGGCTATACTCCCAAGGTTTATTTTGCCTTAGGTTTTGTTGAATAACTGGAAATTTTACACATGAAGGGGTAGTTCCCGTGGGGGGGGATTTCTTCTCAACTTTATTCAGACAGCGTTGCAAACTCGAATAATGTGTGGCGCCAGCCACTTATCCAAAAGTTTTCCTGCCCAGTCTGATTTGTATGAGATGTGTAAACAAATAAACAAGTTACCTGGATTTCGAATCCACATAGGGTTTACAAACTTTTCTCTACACCTTTGTATTCGCAATATTTGGAACTTTTGTGTTGTTACACGGCCGGGTTGCTGGTGATTGTTCCTATTTGGGGGTCGCCACTTATTTCTCTGTTTTCATTTCATTTCATTTCATTTCATTTGTACGCTCAAGGCGTTCCATAAAAAAAAAGACACATCAGGAAGTTAGTAATACAGCGGAAACGAACAAGACATGTAAACAAATGCAGACATCATCATGTCAGTCCGAGTCTGATCCTAATCAGACTAATGTGAGAAGATAAAACAGCTTGCACTGAATATGTTGGTAGGCTAATAGATAAGTATGCAGATGTAGGCATGAGATTTATAACTCCAAAACTTTGAATCCATGGAGATGGGACGCATGCCCCCTCGTTGCCAGCGGAACGATCTTTAGTTACTCTTAAAAGCAATCCGGCGGCTTATAAGGCAGGTCTACTGGCTCAGGTATAATAACCATAACCCAACCTAGCCGGACTGCTGGGGAGGCCCAATGACCCCAAAGGTGAAACGATTCTCATTGAATCCATTTGTTGAAATAGCAAGCTGTACGACTGACTAATAGTTAGCTGAACGAAAAAGACTCGGACTGAGATGCTGATGTAACTGTGTTAGTAACTAGAACAAAACGAGTACACCAAAAATAAAAGTTTGACGCAACGTGAGGAGATACACAAGAGGCGTCAAAGAAATAATTTACAGCCACAACTGAACCCGCAGGTCAATGCAAGATCACCGAGCACCTGAAAAGACAGGTTTTAGAGGTAAAATGGAGAAGAAAAGTGATAGAAAACAAAGCCCAAAGCGATTCCATCCACCATCATAGCACGTCCAAAGCACCCAATGGAAGCCCAAAAGGTCTAATGCAGAAGGCTCGCCCTGTCATGCAACACTAATCAGTGTTAGCGATACTTGACAAGTCAAGCCTTCTCAGTCTACTCCTGAAAATATGACTACTCTCTGCACTAGTGGTCTCAACCGGGAGGTGCGAAAGCCACCTAGCCGACCTGTAGAACACGTTGTTGAACATGAGCAAGTATCTCTTGCGCCGGATTCTTGGATATTGCAAGTTCAAAGAGCCTGACCTTTCGCTTGTAGGAACAAAAATCCAGTATTTACTGGCTTTTAGCTTGTTCTCTCTTCTCAGAACTTGAAAACAGAATACAAGATCCAAGAATTCACGACGGTTTGTTAAGGATTTCATATGAAACCTCTCAAGCCGGGTCTGGTAATCGGGAGGGGTGGTTCCGGGCGATAAACGTCTATACAACTGTTGTGCCGGTGTGCATGCACTTTAGCGTACGGTTTACGGTGACGCATTGAATCCGGTTCCGGCACGCTAATGTAAACGCATGTATGCAAATCGCCACCTACACGCAAAGGGTAAATGCGCCGGCCACACACTGGTTTTCTATTGGTAGAAAAATTTGAGCTCTGCTTTGCTTCGTGTTTGAATTTGCCAGTCTCTGGAGATTTTTCGCTAATGAAAGCAGGTGCGAGTGAAGATAGTTTATCGAAAAGTAGCTAATGTAATGTAGAACGGTGGAGGAGACCGACTGGAGAATGGGGGCGGGGGGGGGGGCGGTTGAACTGAGAATAAGGATAAGGCCTCGGGCCCACTTCACGCGATTTCACTCGCGACGCGATTCGGCAATATTTTAAATGTTTATAGCTCATCCTGGACGCATTCTAAATGTAAGAAAGTAGGGGTTATATCAGATTACGGTAGTCATACTGGCTATGCATTTGTAATCTGCCAGTGTTGGATTTGAAGAAATCTGGCAAATTGCCAGATCGCGTAGCGACTGAAATCGCGTGAAGTATGCTCGAGACCTAAGCTGATTATGTGGTAGAAGTGATTACAGCATTTGTATTGTAAAATATAATAGAACTAGTTTTCAAAAGGTTTTTGGATCCCTCAGGAATTTACATCTTGTTTTGTATGATACGTCTACATTCCCAGAATTCGTTGCATAATCTGGTGAGTACACTTCCGCTTTCCATGGTAGCTCTGTATTACAGATGTATAGAAAGGCAAGGAAATAGACAACCCTCACAAACCTTTTTGTTGAACTCAAATAGATTCACGTACTAGATCGTTTTATCCAATTTTTTGTCGTAAAAATCGCATTTTCGTTTTTTTAAGCCTTGTTCTCTAGAAAATTGAGGTTTCAAGCTCTTATTTTCATCGAACTATCATAATTCAAATTTTCGAGCGAATTATTTCGGTACAACATACTAGGGATGATACTGGAATAAATGCAAAGTAGTATTTCCATAGCACTAGCGAACATTTTGATAAAAGGGCGTTTGACCATTTGTGGTATCACTTCGATTTTTGCACTTTATCATACCAGGTGTTCGTGCAAACTGCTCTCTGCGACTTTTGGTGGGATTGTCTGTGGATATTTTCTGGTTTCATATCGATTCAGTTTTTTTATAAGTCATTACAATGAATGAAGGGATATATGAAGTGGTCAGCCATGCAGAAATGCTTATCTAGCATTGTTAAATGTATTATTTGCTTAACAGAGGCTTTTTTTGAAATTTGCATTACGCTTATGCGGTCAAATTTCAGATTTTCTCGGGAGTGGGATTTGCAACGAGAGCGCTGGGTATAGCAACAGTGATAACAGGTGGGTTCTGTATATTTCTGGGAGTTTTGTTGATCTTGATTTTCGTGGGCCACTATGGCTCTTTTTTAGTTTATCATATGCGTATAGTGCGCTAAAATGTTTTTCCAATGATTTGGGCTGTTTACGTCATCTCATCGTCGTTATGGAGCGGAATTCGTCTCCATCGTAAAAGCTGCAATCGTCCGTACATTGCTTTTTAAGTGTGCTAATGTTCGTATTCATAGCTTTATGCTATTTCTCGAACTGGTTGGTGACAGGGTCTGGATTATCATTTGACGCAAAAGATGAAGTTATGAGATCATAACATCTCTGTCATCGCGCGCTGTGCAATCCCTTGAGGAATAGTCGTACATTTCGATTTGTGGGAGTGTTTCCTTTTCTAGAACTTCCCACGCAATTCACTCTTTTTCACAAACTCTTGAACAGCACTCAATTGATTTTGAGAGCACCACCACACCTGAAATCTGATACGCGTTTCAGTTTCTGGCTTCTCTCTATTCGTCGTCGGTATTTCGTGGGCATTGAACGTGAACACACCGCGCCAGTTTGGCAGCGCCATGCGCCAAGCGTTTGGAGATTCATTGCGATTACCACAGAGTAAAAACTCGCAAACCTTCGAGGAGTTGATATTGAGTCTTGAAACGCAAGAGAAGCAGAGAAAGTAAGTCAAACAGTTTACCTTTACCTAGCAACTTTTTGAATATTTGAGTATTGTTTCTTATTTTCTTGTCAGAATATTTTTTTCCACTGGATTGCTTATTAATTTTTGCATGATAATCATTAGATTTTTTTACATGTTGCTTTTATAAATAAGCATACATTCTGTTTTTAGCTCGTCATCGTCGCCGACGAAGCAAGAATAGAGTTATCAGATTGCAGTTAGGTGCAGCGAAAGTGTCTTTCCGTTCGTCGATTATCTAACCTCCTTACCTTAAATTACTTCATTTTTTGTTATCCTCCTCGCAAGACGGGGACTCCTACCGCCTTGAACAGGTACATTTGCTATCTTTTTTTTGGTTGTGATCTAAATAGTTTGTTTTGTTTAGGGATGCTTACGATATGTATCCTAGTTGTACTGCTTTTTCTCGTTATATTGTTACTGTTATCACTGCGAAACAATAGGCCATTGCCACTTCGACCGTCTTCAAAGGTAAGTGTTCGACTATAATGAACCAATAATTAAAGGTGCTAGATTGCTTCTGCACGCTTCGGGGCCGCTCCGCGGTTTTTCGCCATTTCATGTTTCTAGAATTGGCGTTACGATTTTTGTATTAGATTTGTTGAGTAAATTGTGGTGGATCTGAAGAAGTCAGATTTTTCCAAATCGCTTCTGTAGAAACATCCGAGGGAATTATTTGAGGATACATGACTTTTCTGTGACATTTTTTTATCTTTGGTAGGAAATATACCTTGTTGTCAGTTGTAACGTCATCATTTCTGCGCACCTTGAGCACCGAATTACATAATATCGATAGCTTGTAATTTTTATTAGGTTGTCAGGAAAATAATGTCCGTTTTTATTTGCTTGCTTTAACAAAGCAACCAGACTCGACCCAACAAAGGCTAAGGCATACTATTCGGTAGAGCAAAGCAAGCTCTACAAGATGGCACTAATGTCTTCGCGCTACGCTCGATCCACGGAGAGTTCGAACTCAAAATCTAAAGATTTACAAATGCCAAAAAAAAGAAAAAAAATCAGATCTTCGTCCAAATAATTTCTACGGACCTCCCACTCGCTCACATCAATACTATCGATATCTGATATCCATATGTGCGATTGCCGTATTTTTTCCTTGACTAGAAACTGAGAAAACGAAAATTTCCCTGATTTTCTCAAAGCAATGCTGAGCTGTTTTTGCATATGTAGTTCTATACTACAAGCCTAGGTAAGTATAACTGTAGATTTTCAGCCCATTTCAAGCGGTAGTTTTCGAGAAATGTTGATTTTAGCACTGAAACTGAAACGAAAAAATCCGAATTCTTCATTTTTCGAAAACTACCGCTTGGAATGGGCTGAAAATCTACAGTTATACTTACCTAGGATTGTAGTATAGAACTACATATGCAAAAACGGCTCAGCATTGCTTTGAGAAAATCAGGGAAATTTTCGTTTTCTCAGTTTATAGTCAAGGAAAAAATACGGCAATCGCACATATGGATATCAAATATCGATAGTATTGATGTGAGCGAGTGCCTGTAGAAATCATACGGACAAAGATCTAATTTTTTTCAGTTTTTTGGACATTTGGATATTTTCAGATTTTGAGTTCGAACTTTCCATGGGTCGAGCTTGGCGCAAAATCATGAAAGCTATCTTGTAGAGCTTGCTTTGCTCTATCGAACAGTACCCCTTACCCTTTGATGGGTCGAGTCTGGTTGCTTTGTTAAAGCAAGCAAATAAAAACGGACATTATTTTCTTGACAACCTAATACTTCTGTCTTCTTCACATTTTCTCTTCGAAATTTTCATTGAGAGTATCAGTTTTACTTAAACTGTTATACATGTTCGTAATTTATATTTACTCTATAATTGTAAGAGTCTGGCAGTATTCATCGAAACATATGGCGCGATACTGTTAAAGTCTTAGCCTCTAACAAAGGAAGGATACTTGGTGACCGTGGCCTTCTGAAATGAAACGTATACCATTAAATGCATCTTGAGGCGCTGATTCCAAATCTGCTTTCGCTATCTGCTGTACGCTGTTCCGAAAGAAGTTATGAACATTTCTTGCCACCAAAATTTGTACTGTTTTGATGACAGGAATCACCAGCATAGTTAGAATGTTCATTACGCACTACAAAAAAGCGCCCAAATAAAATGAAGCTTTACATTAAGCTTAGAAAAACTGTCTCCAATATATCAAAGTCTAAAAATCCTGAATACTGATGATTCTGACTGCCTTTATCTCGTGAAAATAATATGGAAAAAAGTCCATAACTTCATTCAGAGAGTCGCACAGCAGATCGTGAACAAAGATTTGAAATCAGCGTTCCAAGGCGCATCTACTGGTGTACACCCCATTGCAAAAAGCCACTGTCACCAAGTATCCTTTCCTTGTAAGACTGAGTGTCTAACCCTTAGAAGTTTGACCTGGCATCTTGACCCTTTCATAATTTGTGAGAAAATGATCCATTCTTTGACTTCCAGGTGCTTCTCGTCATTGCTCACCCTGACGATGAAACTATGTTCTTTACCCCAGCTTTACGTTCACTATCTCTCGCCGGTCATCGCATTTTTATCTTATGTGTATCAAATGGCAACTTTGAAGGACTCGTAAGTCTTTGCTTTATTTTTTCTTGCATAATTTCCTTTTCACTTTTTTTTCGCATGGTTCATTAAATATCTAGGGTCGGAAAAGAACTTACGAACTTCGAGATGCTGTACAGCACCTTGGTGTATCGCCTTCTGACGTCACCGTACTCGACTATGACGTCTTTCAAGACGGAGGGCAATGGGATAAACAAGGCTTGGGCGATGTATTGTTGAGACATATGGAGGTAAGGTGCAGCACAGTTTTTCATTCTTTGACTGAAGACATTTTTTTTCTGCAGTTGATGGTGCACTGCAGGTGCTCTTTGTTGATGAAAAAATCCTTTTCACTATTTTGTTTACTACAGGTGCTTTCTGTTGATATGGTGATGTCTTTTGATGGTGGCGGTGTGTCCAGTCACAAAAATCATATAGCTTGTTTCGATGCGTTGCAAGAAGTTTATACTCGAGGCATGATCCCAGAAGATGTGCAGATTTTTGTGCTCGATTCCGTATCGATCTTTCGAAAGTGGGTTTTGTTTTATAAATTACTTCTTTCTACGGATACACTTTCTTTTTAGGTATGTAGGCATTTATGACGCTCCCATGTCAATAGCTCGTGCTCCATTTCACTATTTCGCGAGAGGTCGGGACGTAGCAGCTGCATGGCGTGCTATGTGCAAACATCGCTCACAATTTGTATGGTTCCGATTTCTGTATATGATCTTCAGCAGGTGAGCGTGTTGTGAGGTTTTCTCATCATTTTCAAATTTCCATTCCTTTTGCTTCAACCATTTTTCTCGATAAGCAAATATTATGTGGTTTTCCTTCATTACAGTGACCAGTCTGTAGCTAGTTTACATACTGTAATAAAAACAACGAAATGCTGGAATGTGTTTTCTTTTTTCCCCAATCTTTTTTCCCTTTTCCTCGTGGTAAGCAGCTTATTTTAAACGACCTGCTTGTGTACAAAATCTCGATCACAGTCATTTTTGGAAAGGATTTTCACTTTGTGGTTTGTGTGGTTTTATATCCTCATGTAATCTCTTGTTAATTACACAAATTCCTATTTTTATATCATGCTAACCCCATAACTTCATCCAGGGAAAAGAAGTTACGTAAAATTAGTTTTATTGTAAATTTTTTTTTTGATTTTTAGATATGTCTACATCAACACGTTTCGTCGAATTGCTCCAATCAACAAAATCCCAGTGGCTAAGCGAAAAAGCAAAAATATCTGACTCACGAAAGACCATTGTTTTATACCCATTATCATATGATACTGTTTTCAGTCATTATCTCATTAGAAGCCTAGGAACTGTTATATTTTTATTGAGGGTTGCTCTGCTCATCATCTCCACATCCTCTTATATTTGTTTTATTCCTCCTGTTCAGTGTATCACTATTGTTGTTGATATTTAGGAAAAGGAAATTTTAATGAATCTTTGTTATTCATCGACTGTGTTGGCTGTAGGGAATAGAGGTTTTATGTTTGAAAAAGTTTGAGAAAATTCCTCCCCCTTTCCAATACCTTGGTTTATGTTTCCGATCCAATTCGAAATATCCGTGATAGGATTAACGCCCATCAATCCTATGTCTACGAAAAGAAAGTGCGATTATGTCTGTCAATCAGCGGCGCAAGGTGAAAGTCATTCGCCTTATCCGGTCCGAATGCGCTCTCACTCTCGGTCAGAGTTTATATCCTAGTTTTCGCGGCTAATAATAATCATGACCAACCATCAGCGATATTCGCAAAAATCCATGAACCTAAATCCATCACTTCTCTTGCCACTGAGGAAGCTCTGATACGTATTACATATGTAGGCAGGTTTGCACCACCGTAAGGCCTCGGACAGAGTTCATGCGATTTTATCATCGCGACTGATCGCGACAAGACAACTGTAACAGAATCATTGCATGCATCTTCTTGCATTTCGGTTGTGATAGTTTTCCAACAACGACTAGTTGTGACTAACTATCACAACCGAAATACAAGAAGGTCGGCATGCAATGAACGTAACACTTGTAGCGATGAATCGCGACGATTAAATCGCGTGAACTCTGTCCGAGGGCTAATGCTGTCAAGGCGTTTCCATACAGGACTACAATCTTACGGAAGAGCAGTTAGAGGAGGTGGAGTTTCCCCTCATGCGCGGCTTGCTAAATCATGCTGGGTATTGTATACTGCAGTGCAAAACGGCCGTCTCCCTCCTTATGGGCAAATTTGGTATCACTCCTAAGGGGCAGGGTAGAGGAGAGGGATCTGAGCGACTGAATGGGTGTTCAAAAATAAAGTGTTTGTGAGGAAGGCGATCGGTTTACTTTGTGAAGTAGCGAGCGTCGCTCTTGGGCATCTTTCATATTTAGACCTGCACGTCCGCGCACGTCTCGCTTTGGGTACCCCCCCCTCTCTTGGTGTGGGATTAGCATCTGATAGCTCACGAATGCTGTTCATAAATTTTGCTTCAGTTTCCAAGATTTTGTATTAAGAAACATTTTCAAAAAATATTAGCGACTTGACAAGTAAAAGCACTTAATGATTTTATTATGTATTTTTATTTATTAATTATATGGAGTTATTATGCCATTATTAGCAAGGGATTACTGAGTTGCCTGTCCAATGAAATAACCTCTGTCAGCACCTCTAGATCCTTGTTGCGCGCAGGATACCTATAAGTAGCATTTTGTTTGAATCGTTGTTTGAAAGAAAAATCGCAGTTGCATTTAAAAATCCATTAAAAATGTCTAAGGGTATTGTTTGACGTACCGATGCTATAGGAATGAAAGTTGTTGGTGATGTAGCGCTTTGAACGGTGAAAACACCATTTTGGCAGAAGACCTGCGATAAAGAACCAAATTCTGTAATTACACCCTTTTCTCAGAAAACGACTTACAGTAACGGCAAGTGAATCGCCAGTGTTTTGTACTGTTCGAACGACATTACCAGCTGCATCGAAGAATTCAATTTGCATGCGGAGTGGCTAAAGCATTGTGAGATTATTTCGGGAGAGATAGTTTTGCGAATAAAAGGGAAAAGGAAAATAATGATTTGAATGAAAAACGTTAGTGGTAGAACATCTTTTGAAAAAGCCAAAATCATTTATACGTTCTTATGTTCGATATCTATTTAATTTCTCTTTCATACATGTAAAAATTAAGCAGATCTTTTAAAAGAAAACGTTTTCTAAAGTTTTCACCCAATTATGTTACAAGCCATATAGACTGCGTCAAGCTCGTACTCTCTTATCAGTCGGCGCAACTGCTGCGCCAGAGGTTTGCGCTGCGTTCGCGCGCGCATAGCTTGAGCAGACCTTGAGTTCCTATGCAAGATCCTTGATTTGGGCGCAGTGTTTACGCAAAAGAATTTGTGACTTTAATAGAGACTGTACTTCCCATTACTCAACAATGCATGCGAAAAGATGATTGGTGGAACTTACGAATCCCTTGTAATTTTTTTCGAATGCGATAGAAAAAGAATTCCAGAACATATCATGGGAAAGCTACAACGGCGCAACAAGCTACGATGATAAAACTTTCTACAGAAACTTACAACTTATTACAGGTGGACCAAAACTATACATAGGATTACAAATTAGTTTGTCGTTAAAAGTTACAACATAGATTCGATCCTGGTCGTTGTATTTTTTGTGCGCTTATAGAAAAATGGACAGGTCGAAGTGAAACCCTTGTCTGATCTTTGTCTCTTCTACATAAGAAACGAAGAGCTCCGTCTATCTAAGAAAACATCTAACAAAGGAAGGGCCCTCGGTCAAAATGGGGTTCCCACATGTGATGCATATCATTGTGCTGATCTTGGGGCATTAACAACAAATCCGTGCTCCTTAACTGCTCAATGATTTTCTGGAAAAGTTACGAGCGATGTTTCCTCAGTTTGACCACGGATTGCTTTATTTAGCGAGATTGAGAAGTGTCATTTGTGGATGAATGGCCGAATGGATAACTGTGGCAACTGTGGAGGAAGTGGTAGAAAGTTTGGAATACTTATGTTCCAAACATCCTTCCATGCTGTAGATTGTATTGTTTGATACGTATCTTTAGAGGGCCCTAAGGCAGAGAAACATCCTGCACCCGTTGAATAACTTGCATGTGCAAGAATGTTTGAAACGTAAGTATTTTGAACTTTCTACCACTTCCTCCATAGTCTCCACAGTTATCCACTCGGCCATCCATCCACAACTGACATTTCTCGGGCCGCTAACTCAAGCTATCCGTGGTCATCCTGGAAAAACCATCACTCGTAACTTTTCCCAGAAGATCATTGAGCAGCTAAAAAACAAGGATTTGGTATTAGTGCCCTAAGGCCAGCACAATGATATGCATCACGTGTGGAAACCCCACTTCGACCGAGGGTCCTTTCCTTGTAAGAAAACTTGCAGGAGATAAATCTGGATGGACGTTAATCTTTTGAAGGTGTTAGGCGCAAACTAAGACTTTGTTCCTGCCAGATTAACTTTCGAGTACAAAAAAGCAAAGTTCTGAAACTTCGAATAGTTGTTGATTCACAGGTATGGCATTGCCATAATTGATTTTGAATTTTAAAGATACAAATAATTTAGACTACTAGATCAAAACTTTTGAACTAGTTTAGTACCCATTTCAACATTATTTTCCTCATTTTCCAGCAAGAAAAATCACAACTGTGACAGTCGTCTGATTTAGCTAACAACTTTGTTTGGTCTTGAAAGGTTTTATGTTTAGGGCGAAAATGAGCTTTTTCCACGACTTTCCAGGTTCGCCTTCAGTGAAGGTACGCCGGAAATCTTCCGCGCCCCGCCTCCCTCGTTCCGGGCCCCGCCCGCTTACACGTATTCTCCACTGACGGAAAGCTTCAGAAAAAGCTCATTTTCGCCATTTTCATGCGCTGGAAAGACCAGATATGGATCCGTCATGACGCATAGGCTTAGAAAAGGCGAAAAACTGGTAAATGAAATTCTGGAGAGACATTGCCCTAAATTTTAATACCCTATTTTCAGGTGTATAAGCCGCGGGTTGGTCCTAGCTTACATCGACCAGCCCAAACACATTAAAGGACCTCGCAACCAAAGGACCCTATACCGTGCTGCGTATTGCCTGAAATAATCGTGCAGCTTAAGGATTTCTTCTCGAAACACAATGAAGCAGCTGAGCAGCCCGGGCGAAAATTTGAAAAAGTGCGGCTTATACACCTGAAAATAGGGTAGTTATTCTATGCTTGTCAGAGTCGGAGCTGAAGAAATCCACCTTACGGCGTCCTCCCTTTTTTCACAATCTTTGATTTGGGATTGTAAGATACTTGTTTATATCTAAGCTAGAAAAATCAAACTTACATTGGTGTCATCGGCAGCATCGCAGAATACAATGCCATCTATAGGACATGTGGATGACAATCGTCTCAGAATAGAGCATTGTTCAAAAGCAGTTGATGACGGGTTCCTTTTGGGCAGAGTGCTTTGAGAAAGCATTGGGCAGCATACTACAACAAATTTTATAAAACTATTGATCAAATTATATGAAGATGCAAGAGCAAGGGAATTTCACGTGAAACTTAGCTCTGTCTTTAGAGCTTGAGAACTATGTAGGATAGTTGTTTTTCACTTTTTTTTGTAGAGAGAATTTTTTACAGGTTTGGTAAGTTTCACTCTGTCATAAAATACTTACGAGGAGTTGTTGTAGTGATAGGATTGGTGGGTACACAAGCCTGTGACGAAGCAGCAACAGCGAAAAGAACAAGAATTCGAGAAATCATAGCGATTCACTGAGAATATGCCAGACAAGCCGAAAGGGATGACGGGGTCAACGTCTCAACCGCTAACGGCTATGACTGATTTTATCCTCGTCATTTATCTCCAGGGGCGTGTCAGCATAGTTTATAAACGGAAGAAAATTCACTGAGCTGATGCCGCGCATCTCTCAGCGAAAGGAAACAATAGCCGCGTTCAACGCCGCGCACCCTGAACCCGTCGTTGCCGACAAAGCCTTCCTGATGATAAGCGGCAAGCTTGATTCAGGGAAATATCAGCTATGATAAGCGAAGCGAAGTTTCCTGAAATCATGCAATGAAATCCTGAACGCCGACCCACTTTGGCGAGGAAATGTCGAAATCGATGATGAAAAAAATTAAAAGGTTTTGAGTTTTGGCCTTTCTTCTGCCTTTTCTAATGGTAGCAAAAATTATCGTAAAATCGTACCGTTGACGAGTTCGAGAGTGTAGAGCCAAATTGAATTGACCTATTTCTTTGAGCAGATGAATAGAACCCTAATTGAGCCAATATCTGAACTGCAGCTTCTATGATTCCTTGGTTTGTTCCCACACGCAATTCGACTCTGACCAAATCGTAATTTTTTTGTGCGAACCAATCTGCGATCAAGGTACGATCTGGAATGTTTGGAATTAGATTGTCTAGCCAGGGAACCGTATGAGGTAACGCTTAGGCGATATTAGGCAAAGCCTCTTTATCATCACTTACATGAGAAACTAAATTTCGAATTCGCAAGCTGTTTAGACAAATGATATCCGATCTTCAGTTAGTGTGCAGACTGAGTTTTCCGTCAATCTTTCAAGAATTTTATAGGATCAGAGGTGGGTGGTAAATAACTCTCTCACCTTTCATAACTTTCATATTTTCACACGCCTCAGTTACTATCGCAGCTGTGTCCAGAATACTGGTCATCTGGGGCAGTATTAAGTGGAAGGATAAAGGATTCGGCATCTTCAATACCCTCTGCGGGCATGCGCCGAACGCACACTACTTCATAGTCGAAGAAGCAACTCTATTGCGAGTCTAATACAGTGACTTGCAGGGGCCAAGCGTTTACCAGACAGTGCTTTTATCCTCCCAGATTACTCTGGTACCATACCGTGCCCAGAGGGTAGGCTTGGTTGGCCCAGGGCCGGCATCGAACCTGTGTCCGATCTGGTCATACGGCGTCTCATACCATTACGCCACTCGTCCCCGGGACAGTATTAGAGAATGCTAATTGCGGTTAAGTTCGGAGTTACAAGGCTCTCACTATTTTAAGTTCCACGACAAGTGGGAGTTAGTTATCCATTCATAGTTACAGTCATATACATATGCCCCATCTCTAACAATCTGTTAAGTAACGTCCAGTTTATCTGGGCACTTCGACTTTTTTAGGCAGCTCGGATGGCTAACTCGCGGAGGATATTATTATTTTGGATCACATACATCGGCTTGCAAAGTTTATAAGCATTTTGGATTCACAATGCCCTAAAATGAGCCTTTAGGAAGAATGTCTGACCATCACACGCGAGCTCGCTCCTTATTTTGGTCAGATCTTCTGACTCGGTGGAGACGATGTGAGTGGCAGTGGCATATTTCCAATCATTCCACGCTCGCTCTGGCATTAAATTTCTATCGGCATTCTCCAAAAGTCGATGTTTGGTTAGGCAGCTGACTATCATTATTAAAGCCTTTATAGGCACCGTCCATCCAGATTCTCGAATTCCAGGTTTTTCTTTTCAAGGCCTTCTCATGTCCCTGAATCCGAATATGAAGTCGAGAATCAGTGCAATCCCCGAGAGTCCCGTTCCAAAGAACCACAGACCGGCTTTCCGGAATGGTGATTGGATGGGCGCGCACGGATGGGCCGGCATGGATGGGGAGGGCGGTGCCGTCTGGGGTCCTCGTGCATCTTGGTTATTCCGGAGCGATTTCTCGCTTCCGAATCGACATTTTGCCTCAGAGTCACGCATCACAATTGAGTTTTGAATTTCGCCCAGATCGTACTCCCCCACAGCAGACCAGTCATCGCATCGCACTCTACTGTGCACCAGGAAAGATTGAAGGGTGATGTCAGGGTTGAATTCTTTTGGCACGGATGAATCGTGCATCACTTCCCTTCTTCAATCTCTTCTCTGCTATTCTGCACCTTACCATTTCAAGAAATGACATTCCTGATAGATGATAACGTCACTACATAAAAGAACAATTTGGGCAATTTCTCTTCATTTCTATTATTGTCAATGTCGAGTGCGAGCAGGTCCCTTACAGCGAACAATCCAGTATGTGAAAATGTGAGGACTGCTACCAGACACGATTTCGTTTTGTCTTAATATCCGCAGTTTCAGTTTGATGTAGATCTCATGCGACAACCTTATTACCACGGCTTATTGTTACGAGATGATGTTCCGTACTTATTGCATCACCATGGCGAATTTCTCGTTAGAGTTGCACAGGTGGGCTCAAAGCTCTAAGTACAGGGAGGAAGGAATAGCACAATAACTCAATATGACCATAAATTGTACCCCACTGCTCCTGAACTGCTCCTGAAAAGAGGAATTCTTCATTATTGTCAAACTCTGCGTAATGGGCTCAATAATCTTTATGCTGATCCATTGAACATCATTCGTTCTCTGGCGCTACACAAACTCCTATCTCGCCATAAAAAAGCAGATTTTGAAGATAGCTTATGCGGGTATGTAGGACCGAATAGGCTAGGCGAGTATCAGTGTGTTGGCAAAGTTTTTGTCATCTTTGAATATAACATAGTAACGTGATGACTGCGCAATATCTTCCTTCGTAACAGTGATAATAGCCGAGAAGATTTGTGTAATTTTATCTCAAGCAGCCGTCACTAAAAGTCTTACCCAGCGAGGGTAGATCTTCCACCGCTTGGACGATTCCATCGTAGTCAAATTGTTATGAGAGACTGCAGCTGTTTATTATTCTGGACAAGGAGAGGGTAGATTGAGTTCATTTCCATTGATGCCAATCAGAGGGTGGTTGCTTAAAGGTTCAGGATAAGTAACAAAGCATACGGGTCAATATAAAGGAAGTCCAATACGCTGCATTAATTGCATCCGTAGCACATCAGTGTAGCATACCCAATAGCAGGAAGAATAATCCCAGCAAATGCGCCCCATTTTCCTTCCGACCTTTCTTCCGTATTTGGCGGACACTTGCATCGGCTCACAGGGTTTTGCGGGGACCCGTCATATGGGTGGAGAGTTCCTAAGAAGCAGCTTCCAACCCAATGTCAGTCTTCCATCAAAGCGGTCTGGTTTGGTTCAAACACAGGGTGTCCCAAAAGTATGTATGCACTGTTTGATCGTTAATATCTCTCTTCCCAAGAAGTCTTTTGCCTTGCGCTAGGGACCGTTTTGTAGAGCTGGCTTCAACTTAGATTTGCATTATAGAACGAATCACTCATCTCTCTTCATTACTGTAGGTTTACGGTAGAAACTTCAAAAAGGGTTTTGAGCAATGAAAGGCAATTTTGCTTCAGAAAGGAAACAAAACAGCCTGAAAGCTTTTACACTAAGTTAACTAAAGTTGCTGATTCTAACCGTAAAGTTCCCAACTTGTTATGATGCTTCATTAAAGAGTTATGCCGGGTAAGAGGTAGCGGCCATTTTTTCAATGTTCCTAAAAAGTGTGGATACACCTTTTAGGAAGTGGATACACCGTTTAGGAAGCTTCGTAATCTTCTGAATAATTGAGTAATGAACTCAGCGTCCATAAAAACCCTATTACACAAGTTTTCACATTTTTTTTAAAAATTTTGAGTTGGCAGCTTTTTCCACATTGACACCATATGTTTCAAGTTTCTACCGTAATCCTGCAGTAATGAAGAGAGATGGATAATTCGTTTTATAATGCAAATCTAAGTTGAAGCCAGCTCTACAAAACGGTACCTGAAGCAAGGCAAAAAACTTTTTGGGGAGAGAGATATTAACGATCAGACAGTGCATACATATTTTTGGGATACCCTGTATCTCAGCCGAGTGCATTGCTTGCGCTGCCGCTTGGGCAGTTTTCTAGTTAGGCTCTCAAAAGCAGTCTGCTTTGCGAACTCCATGTATCTGCCAAAGGATCACCTTCAAAGACGGTTAACGAGGAAAATCAAGACTGTCGAGTTGTTATCAGAGAAGAACACGCTATGTCGAAAAGTGTACATGAGACATAACTTTGAATATAAGAGGCGTTACGTGCAATCGAAACCTTCAAGTTTACCCTTACTTTATCGAGTGATCTGTTCAGTTTCAGTTGTTTGTCGTTTTCATAACAGCACAACACTACAGATAGAGACTCGTTTGTAACGATCTACATTGCCACCCTACACTGCTCAAATTGTTGGAATCATCTCGCAGATTCAGGCAGGTGCAGGAAATTTGCAGCGCGAGATTTACTTAGATACTTAGATGGCCCGTCTTCACGTGGCGTGCGGGCCTCAGCACAAAAGGTTGCCATTTGTTCTGTCCCTCGCTTCAGACATCCACGATCTTCTTGGTTGCCGTCGGTGGCTGCGTGCATGAGTTCCAGGTGCAATCGTATCAGCTGATTTCTCAGCTGGTTCAGTTGTTCCACAAACACGTCTGCCCATCTCTTTGGTGGTCTTCCTCGGGGACGTTTGGCTTCGCGAGGAATCCACTCAGATGTTCTTAGTGTCCATCTGTTGTCTGTACTTCTCATGATTTGACCGGAACATCGGTGTTTCGCTTTCGCAATATATTCCGCTGGGTGTCACGAAGACGGGATCTTTTCAAATCCGTACTGCTCTAAGTCCGTCTAGATGTTGCTTTCGTCGGGTCACCTTCGGAAGACTGCGCTCGAGCGCTTTCTGGGTGGTCCGTAAAGCTTTCGACGTGGCTGCAGTGTCTGCCCAAGTTTCAGCTGCATAGCAGAGCGCCGGGAAAACGGATGAGTCGAACAGGTGGGCACGAAGCTCCGGGTCCGTCAGTTGGTCGATGACTTCCTTCAGAGGCCCGAAGGCTTCTCAGGCTGCTCTTCTTCTCCTATTAAGTACTTCTCAGTCGTTCTCCATGTTCATCGAACGCCCGACATATACGTAAGAAGACGTTTCCAAAATCGACGTGCCTTTCAATTCCATGCATCTTCGCAAAGGGCGTTCCCCATGAACTGAGTCTTCTTCCAATTTATTCGCAATCCGATTTTCTTCCCTACTTCGTTTAGTTCTTTCAGCATCGTCTCTGCTTCAGAGATACTGCTCGAGAAGAGAACGATGTTATCCGCAAAACGGTGGTCGGACAGGAATCTCCCATCAACTCGTATGCCTCTCTCGTCCCAGTCCAGTGATTTCGTCACCCACTGCAAAGCCGCGGTGAACAACTTCGGGGAAACAGTGTCGCCTTTTCGAGCTCCTTTTCCATTGGTATGGTGGGGGTCGTGGAAGAGCTGCATCGTCGTTTTACAGTCCTTGTAAAAGTCGGCTAACGTCCTCACATAAGCTGAGTTAACTCCTTAAAGGCAGTGTCCGGGCAAAAACTCGATTTTGAGATTTTGTGCTTACCCGGGCCTTTTCGCTATGCTGAATCCGAAAATCCACATTGGAGAGCGCGAAAACGACGAAAAAGGGCCCTAACACAGGTGGGAAATCAGCAGGTGGGCGGGGTTTTCCCCAGTGCGATTTCACGCTCCTGGCTCCCGGAGCAATTTTCTCGATTCCGCTAGCCGTCCTAACATCGCTACCGGTCAAGTGCGAATGATTGACTTGAAACCGGAAGCAAGAAGGTCGCTCCGGAAGCCGGGAACGTGAATTCGCAGTGGGAGGGCCCCGCCCACCTGCTAATTTCCCTCCTGTGTTAGAGCCGTTTCTCGCCATTTTCGCGCTCTACAATGTGCATTTTCGGATTCAGCGTAGCGAATAGGCCCAAGTAAGCACAAAATCTCAAAATCGAGTTTTTGCCCGGACACTGCCTTTAACCGTCTAGCACTGACAGGATGGCGTTGGTTTCGACGCTGTCAAAGGCTTTCTTGTAGTCAACGAAGGTTAGGACGAGAGGCAGTCGGTACTGCCGACAGACTTGACCCTCGAAATCTTCGAGGATAGTCTTCGTGAAAAGTTTGTAGAGCACACTCAGCAGGCATATTGGACGGTAGTTTCGAAGATCCTCCCGTTCGCCCTTTTTGAAGAGAAGGACGCTTCTTGAGTTCTCCACTGGTCGGGAATCTTCTTCTAAATGTAAGATGTTAAATGCGACGCTAGAACCTCGTGTAGATGGTGTTTTCCGGCTCGCAGAAGTTCGACGGAAAGATGATCTGGTTTTGTTGGACCTCTTCATAGTCTTTATCGCAACACGCACTTCAGCAGGTAGAATCCTTGGCGGTACTTGTCCGGTGGGAACAACGGGCATCGGCGCGGGTGTTGATGAGCGGAAAAGGTTGGTGTAGAAGCTCTTCGCGATAGATTCCATCTTGTAACGGGAAGAAGTCGGAGTCTCGTCTTCGTTCAGTGCAGCCAGCAGTACGTGATATTCAAAGAGATCCCTTCGGCACTTCTTAAGACTTCGTCTTCCTTCAGCTGCTTCCAGTATCTTGGCTTGCCTGTCTTCCTGAGATGCTCCTGCAAAGCTGTTCTGCAACTAGCGTTGGCTATCATTCGCTCGAGATGAGTTGCATTCGGATCCTGCCTCAGTAATCTTCTTCTTTCGAGCATCTCCTTGGAGGTCTTCGAGATGCGATCCAAGTTCTTCGCAAAAGTCACTGAGGTGCACTCTTCGCAGGCTCGCAGTCCTCTCAGAAGCCGGTTGTAGTCGTACGTTGGGACCTCGTCGATGGGCCAGCCACAACTTGATATGAGCTCTTCCAGCCTGTTACCGTCATAAACGACCTTTCTTTTCGCGGCACTGTGACAGTCTTTCTTTTCTAGCTTTCGACTGAGTCGCATATTCACTCGAAGGAGGCGGTGAGCAGAGCCACTGCAGAAGGATGGAACTACTGAGACATCGAGCAAGCTTACCTTCGGTTGGTGAGAATGTTATGGATCTCCGCATGAGTCTTTCCGTTGGGCGATTCCCAAGTCCACCGACGATGTTCTTTCTTCATGAATGGAATTTCTATGGAAAAGTCGTGCGGCGGAGAGAAGCTCAAAGAGACGGTTACCGTTTTCGTTCCGAAGCTCATATCCAAACTTCTCGATCCTATATTCTTTTTCTAGTGGCATCCCGATTTTCGCGTTGAAGTCGCCCGCAACATATTTGTAAAAGGACTTCTCGTTGCGGACGACCTCCACATCTTCGTAGAAAGCATCTAGTTCTAGTCGTCAGCTGCTGATGTTGGAGAGTAGCAGTTGATGATGCTGATGGTCTTCTAACGTGGAGGGCGTAGTCGTAGGATGGCTAGTCGGGGTGATAGGATCTTGTGCGAATCGACAAGATGGACGATAGATGGGTGTACGACAAAGCCAACGCCTCCAACATCTCGTGATGGAACCTTTTCACCACGAATAATGAGGGTTCTATCACTCATCTGTCGCACGTCCTTCTTCCTAGACTTCGTTTCCTGCAGAGCGATGACGTGGTACTTGATGTGCTCTGCAGCGTCGAGAAGAGCGTGGAGGTCGATTTGTGGAGACTGTCCTCGTTGTAGGTGCAGAGCATGAGGCAGTCTCCATGGCGTGTCGTCCGAGCAGACGTGTCGTTTTTATCTAATCCAAAAGGCGCCCTGAGTACCCTGACATCGTTATTGCTACCACCCGGCGCCGTAGACGGGATGCAATGTGCAAGGTTTACTTCTCTTCTTTTTGCTGATCGAGTAATAAAAATTCTTCCCTTACAAGAGCAAACTTACTAGGCCAACTCTTGATTTCCACGCGGCGATCGCTGACCCCGAGCTTGGAGCGGGGAGCAGAACCGCCTAGCGATCAAAAAACCAGACGTCGGTGGGATCTGGCCTGGCCAGCGCGAGATCTGGAAAACAATAATCAAACACAAGGTTCAATAAGTTTATCAACATGATCCTGTAGATTGCTCAAGATTCCGCAATTTCCTATCATTATTTAGCAACAATAAGGTGGTTAGCTAAGAGTTACCACATCCGTATTTTGGGGTATGTCTAACATCGTGTTAGTGACAAAGCTCAGAGAAACCCAGAAATGCGAGCTCGGCAAGGCTCTCATGTCCCAAATGTAAAGCCGATGTAAGTAAAAACTCCTCCGATGAAATGTCATCTCTCAATAACCTTGATGCATTAAAATATTCCCAGCTCGTGCGCAAATAGGGGTTCACGTTAAAGAATGAGAGGGGCAATCCAGGCTCGGGCTTTTGCCTGCATAAAACCCAAATTCATTCTCCCATTCCGGTTCGGGGGGAACGATCCAAAACATAAGCTCTCACTTCGACAGATGATTACCGCCCCGGTTCTTCCGTCCCTTCTGCACCGCTAGCCTTAGCAGCCTAGTTACTGCGCGCCCCTGATTGGTCGGCGCTGCCGCGGGAGAGCTAGGCGGTCGTTACAGACGCAGGCGCATTGAATTGAACGATTTACGCAAAAGCATTATCTCAAAGATAAGTATCAAAAAATGTGTTGAGCTTTACATAAAACTTGAATTGTTGAACGAAGGTGGGTCAATTAGGTTAAACAAGATTTCAGGTTAGTCCTAGAACCTGTTGCTGAGATGCTACCTTAGGCGGCTAATATTCTTCAGATTGATGCTGTTTCAGCTTGTCTTCTAAACCAGCGTCTACAAATCTTGACACAAGGGCATTTAGACGTCTTGACACACGCATGTAGGAAACCTTTTTGAGGATCAATGCTGCAGCGAAGGTTGAGGTATACATCTCCAAATCAGATCTCGCTATCGTATTTGACGGACAACTTGCCGGCTTACATGCTATTGCGTGGGAAGCCACCACACTCGTAATGGGTTCAAAAGCACGCAAGTCGCTGCAACTCGCCTGCCAAATATAGTAATAGGTGCATACACCGCCTTCGACTGCTACCATTGGTATATTGCTTCCGCAAGCGAAGTCTCTCTTAGTACCATGAATTATGAAAGGTCGCTTAATCTGTCGCTGTGTCGAGTTTGTTCATTTCGAAAATATAGTGAGGAACGATAATAGGTCGAAAAATACTATGTAAGTTTTCCTGACGGTTCCATGTTGACCACTGGAAGCCTCTGCGAAGCAGAAGTGGCGCAATAGTCAATTTTATCTGACTACAAGCGGTGGCATCAGCGTAAAAGCGCATTTTTAAACATCGAAATTACTTCTATCTAGTTCCAGCTGGGCTACTCGAGTTGTGCACCAAACAATCCTCCCACATAGTCGTTATCGAATCAATATTGCTGTTGTTGCTGCTGTTATTCTGGCTTGATGTTGTAATGTTGTGTGACATTCGTCCGCTGTTCAACCTGTCTCTTCAAATGACGTCCACTAGAAGTTTTTACAATAGCAAATAAGAAATATGGCTTTCTCTGAGTTAATTTTTTGATGCGCGTTGAGCTTCAAAACTCCGGCAACAAAATCTCCTAAAAATTATGACTATTCAACCTTTGCTTGGAGCTTCCTTGAAGCGTCAGTTCTTCGCTCTCTGTCCCTTTTCCTTTCCTTTACGGCGGTTAGGAGTCAGGTATATGACGACTGAAGATGTCGTCAATGGTGACAAAGATAATTTTTAAGTTTGCAAGATTAGTCTTAGTGAGGAGTAATAGGAAGTTGACATTGTATCATTGTGGATACCAAAAAACGTGACAACATAGATTTGTAGCTTTCTATCGTCTCACAGAACTTATCCGTTCTTCCAGCAGTGAGGCAAAGACAAGCAGTGCGCTAAAAAGTTCAACTATAATTCTGGTTGATAATTTTTAGGCGGATAAAAATGTGACGAAGCTAGAATTAGTTTTATCCGTATTTCACGACCCGGAGCATCGTTATGATCGCGTTAAAGTTCAAAGTTACAAGGACAGCTCTGTAAGCCTAAGTTTCTTATTAAACTATCTATTGAGAGTTATTTGTAGGTCATCCATCTGGTAATACAGAGCACATCGAAGAAGAAGTATTACATAGATCAAGGAAAAGTCTTTAACACTGTTCATAATCTAATACAGTACTTTTTAGAAAATACTGTGGTTGTTAGAGGGGTAGGTCGAATTGCTCTTCTGAAACGGTATCGTTTTTTTTGTTAAGAAGAAAGTGCAACTGAAAAAAGGTATTACTCTGGCTCGGTGGGAATTCGGATCAAAAAGTGTGAAGATCGGGGAACGAATAGGCGGCACGGGTTATGAAAAAGTATGCAAGTGTAATATAAAAGTTAAGGAGAACGAAATAGAGGCCGTAGCAATTACAGTAAGTTTTCTAAATTTGCGTCGACGAAATTTTTACATTTCTAACCGTGAGAAAATTCTACAGATAGCCGGGTTATCACCAAATTCCCTGGAAATCTTGAAACGTAGAGCAAGGCAATGTCGTTTACTTCGAGACCTACGACATCCTTGCATTGTGCAGTATTACGGTATGAGTATGATGGCGCCACCATGTCGATTTCTGTGTGAATATGTACAAGGTAAACATACTAACTTTTGTAGCTGACTTCATAATGGGAAAGTCTTCAGGAGAAAAGTTGAACTTATACCTGACTAAGCAGCGCGGGAAGTTGAAAAGAGATGAGATGTTACGAATGACGATCAGCGCTGCATGGGGATTGGACTATCTTCATTCAAAAGGCATACTGCATTTGGATGTCGCTGCTAAAAATTGTTTTTATAACCAAAGAGTGGTAAGCCTTCCAGCATGAATATAAATCTGGTTCGGATGCATAGTCACTTTTACTCTCAACAATGAATGTCCTCTTTGATTCCCTAATTCCATTCATCAAAGATTTATACTGGAACACTAACCGATAGAGCAACAATACACTGCTGACTATGGCCATGACTTTGAATAATAATTCTTTTTGAAATGGCGTTTTCAATTGTTAGGAGTTTACATAGAAACGAACTAGATCTCTTGATAGTAAAAGATCCAGAAGTATGAGGGAGAAAACGCGCGAAACAAAAAGCTCAATGATAGTGATGATATTTGAGGTGGTATAGGTAAAATCATAGGAGGCAAGACCCTCAGCTGTCCTTGCAGCCTTGCTTCTTCCGGTGATACGTCGAAAGAGGGTAAACGGTTAAAATTGAATAAGAAAACTTGAGATGAGTGATCACCAATAAGGCTACGTGTGGTTTTTTGCTATACTGAGCAGGCTGGAGCAACAAGCCTGGATTGTATAGCTTCCTTAAATGGCTTGTATGCATGCAAGGAATGGAAAGTGGAGCCAATAAAGCCATCATGAGACGGTAAATTCGCTATGTACTATGGTCCACCTTTGTGGCCTGCTCCGCTTATCACGCACAAGATCTCTCCTTTCTCTTCCAGTTGCTTTACAGAATAAATCCAAAGAATTCCGCGCATCAGCGTTTGTCTGGAGTCCTGATCGAAAAAACTTTGGAGACCGAATGAACGTACATTGCGGGAGGGAGGGTATTCTGCAGGGACGCTTTATATCTTGTTGCTTTGAATAAACTTATTCTTCGTTGCCTTTAACTTTAAAATGTTCTATTACACTAATACCCGATTGATGAATGGCACTACATGGCATAGGAGTTGAGATCCTCGATAATTTGCATGATCCCTGAAACTCTAGGGGTCATTATCCACAAAGCCACTTATCGTTCCTAGAATTCAGTGGAATCGTAATATGCGCAGAATTTAATTAGACAGATTGCTGTCATGGAAGTATGCGAAGGAGGCTTGTTTAATGCTGCAGATACTCGAGCTACAAACGACTCAGCCCCGTCACTCTCTTTATAAAACAATTGCACTCGGCAAGCATTTTGGGGGTTTTGTTATTAGATCACAGGGCGCTAGCACATTGGTAGCTAACCGATGGAGACACAGAGCAAAAAAAATTGTGCAAAGGGCAGAGACAGAGAGAAGGGGAGAGAGAGGAAGGGGGATAGAGATAAATGAGCAACGTACTAATGTATGGGGACATAAGCATAGGGTTTCTTAAGCCTGTTGCAATTGAAATTTTACTTTTTTAGGTAAAGATTTACGGTTTTGATCTTGCGCAAAAGGCACTCGTTTACACAATAAAGTCACTGAAAAAATTGCCAGTTCGATGGATGGCACCTGAATCGGTGGAGATGTTCCGATTTTCGCAAAAATCTGATATCTACTCTTACGGGGTTCGTATTGTAGCTGTTATGAACAGTGTCAAGATTTGACGTTCAGGTACTTGTGTACGAAATTTTTGCACAAAGAGAACCTTACGAGGGAAAAGTAAAGCAAGAGGCAGAAGCTGAAGTAAGTGATGTTTATTTCAAGTCTGAGATATAAGCGCAAGCGCAGCACAGTTGGCAGAAAAATGCGAGAGATCATAATCAGAAGATTTTACAGCAGTTAAAACATTATCATATCATCAGAAGTAAACAAAAATAATTTGCAGTTGGAGTTCATTTTCTAAACGTCGATCAACCATAGCTAGAAATGTGAAACAAATGATTTCAGATTCGAAAAGGAAATTTGAACATCTTCCCCAACCAAACGCCGAAAAAACTCGCAATATATGTGAAAGACAAAATTTGGAACTTAAATCCAAGCCATCGACCCACTATGCAGGCAGTGAGTATTACCAGTTATAACTTTCGCTTACTTAGAAACTTAGATTATATTCAGGTTGTAAAGTTCCTGTCGGAGTATACTGGAATGGAACTTGAGATAAAAGAATCGGGAGAGGTGTGTACAAATAGAAATTGATTATCAACGCCTTTCAAAAATTATAGCCCTTGAGAAACGCAAAATCAATAACATTCTATTTTTTTTTTCAGAGTAAGATCCACCAAAGCGCCACTGCAGCATACGTTACTGACGTGGACTATATTGTATCAAAGTCTGAACATGAAGGTGATGTGTTCGAGGCGGTCATGATAGGGGGAGGAAAACGTAAAGCGGAAGCAGAAAAACCGAAAAAAGCTCCCAAATCTCCCAAAGAACCTGCCAAACCAAAGGAGTTGCCCAAGCCTATAGAAGAGCCCCTTCCCGCTTCTGCTGAGAAAGTGGTTCCCCCTTCTGCTGAGAAAATGGAGGAGACTGAGAAAGTACGAGGGATTCCAACTCCCGAGGAGGTTTTTGCGGGAAAGCTGGATAATACTCAACCCGAAGAAGAAGAAGCACAAGGAGCTTTTGCTTTTTTGTGCAATCGTACTGGTGACTTGTTGTACGATATTGGTGCCGCACTTGTTCGAGCTATAAAAGAAGAAGCCATTGGCTTGCCTTCTGATGAGAAGTCTAAAGCGGCAGGTGAAGCCTCGAGTAGCGGCGTTTCTTCACATCAGAAGCCGGGTGTACTACAAAAAGCAGAGAGAATTCGACAAACAACTCCCAGCATGGCGGGAAGTATAAAGTCGAAGCAAAAAAAGCCTGACGGTGTATGAACCAAGGAGATGAGAAAGAAAAATAGTTTGAGCTATTTAAGCCCCTAATTCATTACAGTACTAAAGCTGTTTCAAATCTAAAACAGACGAAATTACTTACGAATGAGAATAGAGTGAATGTACGGCCTATGTATTTGTTTTTTTGTAATCATAGGTTTGTATTGCATGTGCGATAAAGGGTTGTTCTTAGATTTTGTAAAACACATCCTAGCATTGAACAGTGTTTATAGACAAATCGACAACGCCTCGCAAATTTGACAGCTGGAGAAATCTGCAAATTGAAAAAGATTTTAATTAAGCAGGTCTTAATTCACTAAGAAGAATTAAACAATGAACGAAAACTTGATTTAGTATCTAGCTGCTCTAACACTATTCAGCAAGATTTATTATTTTTTGATACGAATTAGTTTCGTAGGGGGAACAGAATATTGTAAAGGGCGACATGTCAGAAAGAGTGCTACGGCTGAACGGCATTCGTGCAAAACCTAATCATTGCATGACAAGTATTTTTCGTGATATTTTGGAAGTATTAGGTTGACCCGAAAGTTCTGTCGCACCATTTTCCAAAAATCGTAACTTCATTCTATCGCGATAATTTCGCATGGCTAAAATTCTGTTGAAAAGAGCAAATCATGCACTTTCTAAGAGTGCCTTGGTTGCTATTTATTTCACTCTGAATGCAGAGATAAAATTTGAGAAAGGGAGTTATAGGCGCCGTAAAACCTAATTGCCCGCGCCGTGATTTGAACACCAGCGTAAGCGAGCGGTCGTCGCGAACGACTGTCGGCGTTCACTATATTCCAAGAAATCTTTCTTTAACTTTCATGTTGTTCTCGTCAATGCGAGGTCTATCTTGACGAAAGCTCCCTTTAAAAGTTTAAAAAAATATGGGTGGAAAGGGTGCGCGCTCATTGTCGCTCGCAAAAAGTCTGTAGCGCTTCGGGAACACATGTTTTCAGCCGCGCGTTGGTGTTCAAAGCGACGCGTGGGCAGTTGGATTTCGCGGGGTCTTTATTTCAAGTTCGGAATTTTGAGGCAAGTCCGTTAAAAAATCCAAAACTGTGCCATAAAATCAGAACAGCCAGTATTCTAAACTATTTGAGATCCTCTTCCTAACTGTGCAAAGTTTGCGCTGATTAAGCTGTTCTTTGAAAAGTTATGATTTTTGAGAAATGCTAAAACATAAATTTTTCTCAAGAATGATTTTTTTGGCATTTTTTCTCAAAAACATAACTTTTCGAAGAACAGCTTAATCAGCGCGAATTTTACACGGCTAGGAAGAGGGTTTCAAATAGTCTAGAATACTGGCTGTTTTGATTTTTATGGCACAGTTTTGGATTTTTTAAAGGGCTTGCCTCAAAAGTCCAGACTTGAAGTGATTTTCTTTTTCCAATTTTATCTCTGCATTCAGAGTGAAGTAGATAGCAGCCGGATGTTGCTAGAAAGTTCATGGATTGCTCTTTCCAACAAAATTTTAGACATGCAAAATCATCGCGAAAGGAAGAAGTTACGATTTTTTTGAAAATGGTGCGACAAAAACTTCGGTTCAATCTAATATTTACTGGAATCCCGGATTGGTCACGGCAATCCCATGCTTGCAACCCCTGCAAATCACTACGTAATATACAACAAAAGCTTGCTCACTCCTACGTTTCCGCGTATCGTAGACCTCATGCAAGGTGGGGGGGGGGTAGCAGACGGAAATGTTGCGAGTTACTGTCGAAATTTTGCGTCGAATTAAGTTTTCATTCTTAACATTCATGCAAATGGCGATAAGTTTTTTGAAGTGCTGCCAGGTTACATAACCGAGTGAACTAAGCTTGTTTTCGTAAAAGAGTCAGACGTATTTCGATAGGCAATAATCAGTGTCGCAATGACATTGGAATAGGGTCGCCAGCATCCGGGTGTATTATTTTTACTCTGATTTTCCTCGTGCCTACTGTCTAGATATGTCATTTGTACTTGAGTCTAATTTGCCTTTGGAGTGATGCTAAAATGCAAACCAGTATGCTGAGCTACTATCATTTTCAATCCCCATAAAACACGAATTTCTTGTATCTAGACAGGTTATAATTTACCGTTCGATAAAGCAAAGCAAGCTCTTAAGATGACTGTCTCGCTTTTGCACCAGCTCTAGCCCATCTTGAGTTTCAAGGCAAAAACTAAAAAGATTTAACTGCCCGAAAAATCGAAAAAAAAATCATAACTTTGTTTGAAAAAATGCTAAAAAAATGCTAACTTGCTCGCGTAAATTGCCGTATTTTTCTCTTGGTTAAAAAGAAAACGAAGACTTGCATGTTGTTGTTGAAGCAATGCTGTGCTTTTCGTACATAGTTACTTGTATACTACTAACCTTTAGAAGTACAAATATAAATTTTCAGCTTTCTACGGCACTACTTTCCGAGAAATATGAATTTTAGCGTAAGGCATCCAATCAAGACAAGCTGTATTTAATATTTCTTGAAAACTAAGTCTTGTATTGAGCTGAAAATCTACATTTGTACTTCTACAGGCTAGTGGTATTCAACTATCTATGTAGAGACATCACCGCATCACTTTGACAAAAGCATAAAAATCTTCGTTTTCTTGATTTCTAGCCGAGGAAAAAGTACGGCAACGCGTATATAAATCTTATATATAAAGCTGAATGTCTGTTTGTCTGTCTGTCTGTTTGTCTGTCGGTCTGTCTGTACGTATATTCCGAATAGAAAATTCCATTTCTGAACCGATCGGGACCAAACTTGGCACATATACACCTCGGGCCCCGGCGGGTGTCATAGGCTACTTTTCGTCATCGATCGATATTGATTTTATCGATTTTTTGCAAAATTTGAGCGACAGGGCTGGGAGTTGGCACAGGGGTTTAATCGAGCATGCTGATCACCCCCGTGGGGGTGATCAGCATGCTCGATTACACCCCCTGCCAAATTCCAGCCCCCTAGCTCAAATTTTGCAAAAAATCGATAAAATCGACATCGATCGATAACGAAAAGTGGACTGTGGCACCCGCCGGGGCCCGAAATGTATGTGTGCCAAGTTTGGTCCGGATCGGTTAAGAAATGGAATTTTCTATTCGGAACATACGGCGGAGCCGGGTAAGCCAGCTAGTGTTTTATATGGATAGCGTTTACGCGAGGGAGCTAAATTTTGTAGGAGCTTTTTAAATGGAGTTATGATTTTTTCTCGATTTTTCAGGCAGTTGAATCTTTTAGTTTTTGCCTTAAAGCTTGGTATGTATGAAAGCTGATGCAAAAGCAAGGCAATCATCTTGTAGAGCTTGCTTTGCTCTATTAAAAACATTACTTTGCAGCCTATTGAAGCGAAAAGTGTATGACTTATTGCGTTTGAAATTCAAAGCGGACGGAACTCATGGGACAATCTGATAGAAAGGCGAGCGTGTAGGTAATTAGAGTTCGCTGGTAATTTTGGAATACAAAGTCATGTGGGATGTTTTGCTTTTGCTTGTGTAACTAAGTACTTTTGGTACATTTTTTTCAAAGAGTTATCGGTCTGTAACCTGCAAAGAGGACATTTCGATTGAAGCAATATTTTGGGAGACTGATTTATGTACGTTCGTAGAGCAGTTCTTACAAGTGACGGTATGCAGGTGGGACGTGAGGAACGCGTTGTGAGAAAATGTTGATTTCCGTCGTTTTTTTTTTCTGTAGGAGTCGTAGGACATTTCGTAGGACATTTCTTTCCTATAACGGTGAGATTCCGCAAGAAAATCCTTGCCAATATTCATAATTTTTGGAGAGGGGTCTCTTCTTTTCATAGTATTCCATTTATAGTTAACAGAATACAAATTCAGAGGAGTCTTTGCAAAAGTTCTAAGGCAACTGATTGTGTAGCTTCAAAACTGATTGCAAAAGAAGAAAAGTTTTTTGTAGTCACAACCTTGAGGTGTTCATCTGCTTTTGATTCACTGTTTATAGATTAGGTTGCCCATAAGTATTTTCACGTTCAAACCTTTTCGATATTTCTCAAAAATTAGGGCACTTACAATGCTGCAAATTGTCGCAGTAATTCTGAGTGAATAAGCTATACAGGGTGTCCGTAATATATGTGTACACTGTTTGATCGTCAATATGTCTTTTCCCAAAAAGTCTTTTGCCTTGCTCTGGGTACCATTTTGTAGAGCTGGCTTCACCTTAGATTAGCAGTGTAGAACGAATCACCCATCTCTCTTCATTTAGGATTACGGTAGAAACTTGAAACATATGGTGTCAATGTGGAGAAAGCTGCAGTTTCAAAATTTTTCAAAAAATGTGAAAACTTGTGTTCTAGGGTTTTTATGAACGCTGAGTACAATACTAAACTATTCTCAAGATTGCGAAGCATTCTAAATGGTGTAACCGCACCTTTTAGGAACACTGAAAAAATGGTCGCTACCTCTTACCTGGCATAACTTTTCAATGAAGCATTATAATAAGTTGGGAACTTTTTCATTAGAACCAGCAATTCTAAGTAGCCTAGTGTAAAAGTCTTCAGGCTGTTTTGTTTCCTTTCTGAGGAATATGGCCTTTCATGGCTCAAAACCCTCTTCGAAGTTTTCACCGTAATCCCACAGTAATGAAGAGAGATGGGTGATTTGTCCATACTGTAAATCTAAGTTGAAACCAGCACTACAAAATGGTACCTGGAGCAAGGCAAAAGACTTCTTGGGAAAAGAGATGTTAACGATCAAACAGTGTATACATACTTTATGGACACCCTGTATAACCACATATTTGGGAAGAACACAGAATCGCTACAGGCACTTGAAAATTCGGCTATATTTTTCTTGATTCCTAACCATCAGAAAATTGCAAAGCATATTATAAGTCCCTGTTGGGGAGAGCCTATGCGTAAGCAGAGTAGGATATTTGCATATATATTTTAAACTAATAACGAGATACGATTTTTTCCCTTCATATCTGGAACTTTGTTTATTCTGGCTTAAAACTTGATGCATCAAGGTTGGCGCGATCTTTCGAAATCCCTTGTAGAGCTTCTCTTCG